TCTCCCTCACCCTCTCTCTCCTCCCCCTCCCTCACCCTCTCTCTCCCTCCCCCTCCCTCTCCCTCACCCTCTCTCCCTCACCCTCTCTCTCCCTCCCCCTCTCTCTCTCCCTCACCCTCCCTCCCCCTCCCTCTCCCTCACCCTCCTCCCTCACCCTCTATCTCCTCTCCCCTCTCTCTCTCCCTCACCCTCTCTCTCTCTCTCTCTCTCCCTCACCCTCTCTCTCTCACACACACACACACAGAAAGCAATTACAAAGCAGTGCAGTGCTGAGCGGACAGTGACAGCAGAGTCGGGGTTAATCCACAGCAGTGCCCCCCCGGGGGCGGGGGGTGGGGTGGGGGGGGGGGGGGTTGAGCTGAAGGCAGAGTGAAGCCTGACTTGGGCTCAGCTGCGATGGGAAGTGTCGGTGCGGACTCCGGGGCCAGAGAGGGGGAGAGGGAGAGGGAGAGGGGGAGCAGCGAGTGAGTGATCGGCAGCTCCGTGTGGTGGTGAAGTCTTCGCAAAGAGAATTCGGGGCCAAAGCCCCTCCTGCGGTGGAGGGGAGAGAGAGAGGGGGGGAGAGGGGGTGTGAGGGGGTGTGAGAGAGAGGGGGGGAGAGGGGGTGTGAGAGAGAGGGGGAGAGGGGGAGAGAGACACTCTCACTCTCTCTCTGACCACCTCTCCAACTCTTCTCAGCCTCTCTCACACTCTCTGCCTGACACTCTCACTCTCTCTCTCTGACACTCTCACTCTCTCTGACTCTCTCTCTCTGACACTCTCACTCTCTCTGACACTCTCACTCTCTCTCTCTGACACTCTCACTCTCTCTGACACTCTCTCTCTCTCTCTCTGACACTCTCACTCTCAGCCTCTCTCACACTCTCTGCCTGACACTCTCTCACTCTCTCTCTCTGACACTCTCACTCTCTCTTACACTCTCACTCTCTGACACTCTCACTCTCTCCGACACTCTCACTCTCTCTCTCTGACACTCTCACTCTGTCTGACACTCTCACTCTCTCTCTGACACTCTCTCACTCTCTCTCTCTGACACTCTCACTCTCTCTGACACTCTCACTCTCTCTCAGACACTGTCACTCTCTCTGACACTCTCACTCTCTCTCTGACACTCTCACTCTATCTCTCTGACACTCTCACTCTCTCTCTGACACTCTCACTCTCTCTCTCTGACACTCTCACTCTATCTCGCTGACACTCTCACTCTCTAACACTCACTCTCTGACACTCTCTCTCTCTGACACTCTCACTCTGTCTGACACTCTCACTCTCTCTCTCTGACACTCTCACTCTGTCTGACACTCTCTCTCTCTCTGACACTCTCACTCTATCTCTCTGACACTCTCACTCTCTCTCTCTGACACTCTCTCTCACTCTCTCTCTGACACTCTCACTCTCTCTCTGACACTCTCTCTCTCTCTCTGACACTCTCTCTCACTCTCTCTCTCTGACACTCTCTCACTCTCTCTCTGACACTCTCACTCTCTCTCTGACACACTCTCTCTCTCTCTGACACTCTCTCTCTGACACTCTCACTCTGTCTGACACTCTCACTCTCTCTCTCTGACACTCTCACTCTGTCTGACACTCTCACTCTCTCTCTCTCTGACACTCTCTCTCTCTCTCTCTGACACTCTCACTCTCTGACACTCTCTCACTCTCTCTCTGACACTCTCACTCTGACACTCTCTCTCTCTGACACTCTCACTCTCTCTGACACACTCTCTCTCTCTGACACACTCACTCTCTCTCTCTGACACACTCACTCTCTCTCTCTGACACTCTCACTCTCTGACACTCTCTCTGACACACTCTCTCTCTCTGACACTCTCTCTCTCTCTCTCTGACACTCTCTCTCTCTCTCTCTCTGACACTCTCTCACACTCTCTCTGACACTCTCACTCTCTGACACTCTCTCTCTCTCTGACACTCTCTCTCTCTCTGACACACTCTCACTCTCTGACACACACTCTCTCTCTCTCTCTCTGACACACTCTCACTCTCTGACACTCTCACTCTCTAACACTCTCTGACACTCTCTCTGACTCTCTGACTCTCTCCCATTTCGAAACGCGTTCCTGGCCCTGGACCGGGCGGAGTGCTGTGGTGTCTCTGGGCCCCCGTTAGGCCCAGTTCACAGCCCGGAGCTGCCGCTCGGGTTTCAGCCGCTGTGAGTCCGGAGCTTTGACCCTCCCCGCCGGGCGGGGGCGGGGGCGGGGGCGGGGGGAGAGGGGGGGGGCGGTGATCGCGGCTTCATTCGGCTTTTGGCTTCTCAATCCGAAATGTGGAGACTCAGGTGAGGCCGAGCGGGGCTTAAAGGGGCAGCGACACCGAGAGACCCCCTGGGGTGGGGGGGAGAGACCCCCTGAGGTGTGGGGGAGAGACACCTGAGGTGTGGGGGGGAGAGACCCCCTGAGGTGTGGGGGAGAGACCATGAGGTGGAGGACTGAGGGGGGGAGAGACCCCCTGAGGTGTGGGGGAGAGACACCTGAGGTGTGGGGGGAGAGACCACTTGAGGTGTGGGGGGAGGAGAGACCCCCTGAGGTGTGGGGGGAGACCCTGAGGTGGGGGGAGAGACCACCTGAGGTGGGGGGGAGAGACCACGAGGTGGGGGGAGAGACCCCCTGAGGTGTGGGGGGGAGAGACCCCGAGGTGTGGGGGAGAGACCACTTGAGGTGTGGGGGGAGAGACCCCCTGAGGTGTGGGGGGAGAGACCACCTGAGGTGTGGGGGGAGAGACCACTGAGGTGGGGGGAGAGACCACCTGAGGTGTGGGGGAGACCACTGAGGTGTGGGGGGAGAGACCCTGGGTGGGGGGAGAGACCCCTGAGGTGTGGGGGGGGGGAGAGACCCCTGAGGTGTGGGGGGAGAGACCACCTGAGGTGTGGGGGGAGAGACACCTGGGGTGGGGGAGAGACCCCTGAGGGTGGGGGGAGAGACCCCTGAGGTGGGGGGGGGAGAGACCCCCTGAGGTGTGGGGGGGAGAGACCCCCTGAGGTGTGGGGGGGAGAGACCCCCTGAGGTGTGGGGGGAGAGACCCCCTGAAGTGGGGGACGGGGAGAGACCCCCTGAGGTGGGGGGGTGTGGGGGGGAGAGCCCCCTGAGGTGTGGGGGTGAGAGACCCCCTGAGGTGGGGGACGGGGAGAGACCCCCTGAGGTGTGGGGGGGAGAGACCCCCTGAGGTGTGGGGGGGAGAGACCCCTGAGGTGGGGGGGGAGAGACCCCCTGAGGTGGGGGACGGGGAGAGACCCCCTGAGGTGGGGGACGGGGAGAGACCCCCTGAGGTGGGGGAGAGACCCCCTGAGGTGGGAAGAGACCCTGAGATGAGGGGGGAGAAATCCCCTGAGGTGGGGGGGGAGAGATCCCCTGAGGTGGGGGGGAGAGACCCTCTGAGGTGGGAAGAGACCCTGAGGTGGGCGGGGAGAGACCCCCTGAGGTGGGCGGCGAGAGACCCCCTGAGGTGGGCGGCGAGAGACCCCCTGAGGTGGGCGGGGAGAGACCCCCTGAGGTGGGCGGGGAGAGACCCCCTGAGGTGGGCGGGGAGAGACCCCCTGAGGTGGGCGGGGAGAGACCCCCTGAGTTGGGGGGGGAGAGACCCCCTGAGGTGGGGGGTGGGGGAGAGAGACCCCCTGAGGTGGGGGGTGGGGGAGAGAGACCCCCTGAGGTGGCGGGGAGAGACCCTCTGAGGTGGGGGGGGGGAAGAGAGACCCTCTGAGGTGGGGGGGGGAGAGACAGTGGGAGGGGGGCACTGGCGCAGAGAATGTGTTGACTAAATCTCTTCACTCGCCCAACAATGGAGCTTTACACTGTGTGTCGGCAATGGCTCAGTCTCAGAGCGCCGAACATTGCTGGGACGGACAGTGTGACTGTCGCCTCCGAGTCACAAGGTTGCGGTATTTTCAGCTGGTTATCATCTGTCCGGGACTCCCCAGCTCAGTGCTGGCAGAGCGCTGCCTTGTCACTGACGAGACTTTAAACCAAAGAGACATCAATGATCCAGAGTCACTTTTTGAAAAGAGAGGGGAGTTTATCCCGTTGCCCCGGGCAGCAATTCCCCAGATAAAAGTTGGTGGTTCACTTCATGGCTGATTGTGGGACATTGCCGCATGCAAATCGGCCGCTGCGTTTGCCTAGAAAATACAGCAGCTGACTTTACAGTAAAATCCTGTGAAGAGCTTTGAGAAGTTTCGACAGTTGTTAGAAGGCGCTCTATCAAATGCAAGGATCATTATGATTCCAGCACCTCTTCAGGCTCATTGTGTGATTTAGGTTTCTTTTGATTTTTATAGTGAGAATGGCTGAGTGACTTCGGTAGCCATACTCTCCTGTCTGTCCCCTGCGCTCACCACGCAGTGGCCTGCTCAGGCCAGCAAATTCCTCGGCCTCTCTGACCTAACATCGTCAGCCAAATGTGTTCACTGTCCTTCTCGAAATTCCACTGCCTGAGATTTGGTGGTGTTTGTTTGTGGGGTTTGTGCTGTTTATGGAGTTTAATGTTTGCTATTATTGGAGGTTTGTGCTGTTTATGGGGATTTATGACTTTCTGCCACAGCACAGGGAGATGGGGAGTCAGGATGACCGGGGGGGGGGGGGGAGGGGGGGTTGCTTCCAAGACAAGATCCTTCATCCCTCCTCTCCAAGATGTCGCAATGTTCGGGAGTTGCGGTGTAGTCAGTGTTTAAAGGGGAACACTTGGAAAGCCTGCTTTTATTTTGGAAAGGAGAAAAGCACTCTTGTGTGTCAATTTTGCTCAGGAGGATGACTTGGTGCCCTGGTAACTTGACAAGCGGTTTTCATCCTTTTTTTGTCCTATGGGTGGGGGGGAAATCAATTGTAGTAAACAAACAAAGGAAATTCTGACGAACGACACAATGAACAACAAATTACATTTGTATAATGCCCTTCACGTTGGGAGGACATCCAAAAGCACTGGACAGTCAGGGATTTGGGCCCGAGCAAGGGGTTGGGATCAGGAAGGGTGGGGGTTAGAGAGGATAGGGGTAGGGATGTCTGAAGGTGCAGTTGAAGAGGAGGGTCTTGAGATATGCCTTGAAGGAGGCAAAGGAGGGAGCAAGACGAAGGGACTGTGGGATGGAGTTCCAAAGGGGGCAGAGAGGCTGCACGCCCGACCGCTGATGGTGGTGAGGTTGAGTGGGGGACGTGGAGCAGGCCAGAGTCTGCTGAGCGGAGGGTACGGACAGGTCGATATGGTGTTCGCAGGTTGCAGAAGTAGGAAGGAGCAATGTTGTGGAGGGCTTGGAAGGCGAGGATTTTGAACGCTATCCTCTGGGGGGATGGGGAGCCAGTAGAGGTGGATGAGGGTGGGGTGATAGAGTCATGAAATCTGGTGTGGGAGAGGACACGAGCTGCAGCTTGTGGAGGGAAAAGTTGGGAAGGCCAACAAGCAGGGGAGTTGGCGTAGTCGGGCCTAGATGTGACAGATGCATGGAATAGAGTCTCGGCGGCCTGAGGGGAGAGGCAGTGGCTGAGGCGGGCAATGTTGTGGAGGTAGGGGAAGACAGAACGGGTCATAAGTCACTGGTTAGGCCTCAGCTGGATTATCGTGTCCAATTGTGGCACCACCCTTTAGTAAGAATGTCATGGCCTTGGAGAGGATGCAGTACCAGAATGATACTAGGAATGAGCGACTTCAGTTATGTGGAGAGACTCGAGAAACTGAGATTGTTCTCCTTGGAGCTGAGAAGGTTAAGGAGAGATTTAACAGAGGTGTGCAAGAGGAGTTTTGTTAGAGTAAACAGAGAGAAACTATTTACATTTTCTCTCTATTTACTAACTCCTCTTGAACACCTCTATTAAAACTGGTGCAGACGTGACAGGTCAAATGGCCTCCTGTGTTGTAAGTGTCTGTGATCCATGAAGCAAATAACCAATTGTTTCTGGAGGATCATTAGCTTGAACAACATGAAAAACTCCTTTCTCTTTATCAGTGTCGCTGAATCTTCTTCAGTGACATTCCAACTTCTTGGAAACCGGAACTCAGGCTTTACTCCTTATCAGAAAGACGGCCTCCCAACAATGCTGCGTTATCGTAGTAATACACTGGAATGTCAGCATGGATTAGGAGCTCAGGTCCTCAGGTGGGACCCTGAACCCGCAACTTTGTGTATAGGAAGAGAGAGCGTTAACTGAATCAAACTGAAGTTGTGCCTCTTAACATATAAATGCTGTGTGATGCCGCTTTCACAATACTATGTTTGTCTCCAGAAGCAGCTCGTAATGTAGCATCAGACAGATTTGCTGTCCCTGGATCCATCCTGTTCTCACCAATCTTACTTTGAAATGGAGACAATATCAGCTAAAACATGATTAGAGCTAAAGCTGCTTGACTTTTACTTGCCGGATGAAATAATCAGCAAGATCCCACACGTGATTACAAAGTAATTGTGTGAGTAACTCCCACCCTTTAGAACTCCATCCCATAGTCCCTTCTGTAGCTCAAGAGAACCTGTAAGACTCCGGCTGTTGGGAGACACAATGCGTGTTATTCCATCCGGATAGGTCGGTAAAGGAGGCTCTGATCTCAGTCTGGTCCTCAAATTGATCCTTAGCTGATGGGATTGTAGTAACATCATGGTTGCTTTGTTGTGTCATTGGGGCCAGAATTATAATAATAATAATTCTTGCATTTGATACAGCACTTCATCACGTCATCGTGACATCTCAAAGCACTTCACAGGATACAAAGAATTGCGGTTCAAATCCCCGCAAACAATGCAAACAATTTAAATGGAAAAGTGGGCGTAAGTAAAGCCTTCCTTTTAAGAGAAGAACGAGGTGTGCTGGAACATCAGTGGAACGTGGTGACCTGGGCTCCCAGCTGTGGAGCCATTCCAACAATATAATAGCCTATCATAAACCATCGCTGCTGGAGAGAAAAAGCCTCGAGCTCTGGTACGTTGCTCGGTCCAGGCAGAGGCTGAAACCCTTCTTTATTGGCTTACCCTGAGGTAGTCTGCTAACCTGAGGGATACAAACCTTCAAGATGTTCATGCCCTGGGCTGCGTTCAAGGATAGAGAAGCTGCCCAGTGCTTAGTGCACTCATGGCCTCCACTCAACCCACCTGGGATATGCTTTCAAAATCGGGCCCTGTGACAGCTATTTAGGGAGTGGGGAGAGGGAGAGTGATTGTGTGACTCAGTAAAAAGGGCTCAACGCACTCTCTAGGAACGTCCGGCACTGGCAAAGATCTCTGTAGTCCATGGGACCGATTCCAGGATAACTAAATAAAAACTACACAATAGCATCTGACGGAGACAACGTCACAAAGTGCAGTGT